TTCACTAATTCAAGTCCTAAAATAAATTCATGTGTTACAGTGTTTGGCCTGAAGCAAGCAAATTGTTGTAAACCCTCAGCCTGCGCAACTGGCTAAAATAAAGGTGTTAAATTGTCACACACGTTCTCAGTCCATACTAAATTGAACTGACTTAATTTATTAAATATTTATTGCTTTGTCAATCAGTTATCGCTTTATTTCACAAATTTAAATCGAATTTTGTAAAATTAAATTTGTTGACAAATTGTTAGTTATTTGGTTGAAAAGGGAGGTACATGAGGGCCGGTTCGCAGTCGCTCGCACTTAGGTTATCATTAGACGCATTGTGCCGAATACAGCAACTCAGTGGATTTGGARTTATGGGGGCCGTGAAAAACGTTCACCTCATACGGCTAATAGGTGGGTATTGGCATAGGGGCAAGTCAGCAGCCCCCGTGCGAACACTGAACAGGGTATATTAAGTTTGCCATGAAGTTTCTTAAACCTAGAAGAAAAATCGTTGATCCTATAAAATATATGCATAAGTGATAAGTGCGACGAAGTTAACCATGTCCGCCTAGTCTCTTAGTTTTTAAGATACTGATCTTAAATTTTGCACACACTGTTTACACGCCAAGGAATATACTCATTTGTTGACCGATAATCAAGTTCTTGTATGGAAATCTTTTTTATTTGACAAGTTATCTTTACGAAATTTAGATTTTTTTTCAAGCCAACTCTCTCTTCCAACAAATAAAAATAAAATCTTTCCTTATTATGCACCCTTAACATGACTTGAAGGTTGTTTATGTTAAACAATGTTGCTAGAAAGAACWAACAAAATATTTTCCGTTGGATACAAATCGTTAATCGTTAGTTTTGTTGWAAAAATTACTTTTCGAAAATACTTGTCGAAGTAAAATTATATTTATGACGATCGAAAAAGGGCTTTTTGGCAGAGGATGTTTTATTAAGMATATTGTATTTTTGAACTATTAATATGATTTCCATCACTGCAAAAAATTGCGAAAAATGCCTAACTAACATTCGTCTGACGTAATCTAAATCACTGCAAACATGCTCAAATCGCACACGGAAGCCGGTTTCAACAAGTGAGTCAAACAACAAGTAAAAAGAACGCGCCGGAATCTCACGAAAGGGTGACAATAACAATCGATATACAGTTACTGACAATAAAATAGRATCAAATGGTTGGTTCTGCAATAATTAMCAATATTTATTATTTGCTTGATAGATTTATTATATGTTTTGCCTGTAATCGATTCCTATAATATTTATTTGTTAAAACACCATGACGGTTTATCGTTARCTTTGTGTTCAAGTTAAACAAATGTGTGCTTTCGTTGTGTTGACAAAATATTTTTAATATTTCAGGTATTTGTTTTTTTTTTTACGTATTACTTGCAGAAGGCATGGGGCGAGGAATCATGGCTCGCTATTACTTCCTTAGGATCTTAGAAGATGTAATGCTTTCTTATACTGMATTTTCAGCATGACAATGACCCGAAGCATACCTAAGGTGTGGTTAAGACTGGACTATAAAATCAAGGAGTCGATAATATTTCTTGTTGGACGCAATCTTTGGAAAGTAGGAACCCAATAAACCACAAATTAAATAGGAACTATGGGAAAATGTCCAAGAGGCGTGATAWTCATGCCAAAAAGTAATATAATATTAGTCTCCTCTATTTACGAGTTTTGGGTCCAGGAATCCACTTTATTGTCAATCACGGTTATTGACAGTTTATTTAAAATTTATCTTTCGATAAATGCTTAAATTTATATTAACTTATTTCTGCTTTTGAAATGTTTAAAATAACTTTTGCTTCTATTTTATTGTCGGTAACTGTATACTTCGTTCTAATATTCAAATAAAATGTTCGTTATTGGAATATAAATATGCAGAAAAATGTTTTGGAAAAAAAGATACGCAAAAGTATGCAATAAATTAAAAGCAAACGAATTAAAAAGGACAAAAAAGTTGTTTTTGTCATTCGGCGATTAGTCACGCCAACCTTGCGCCGGGCRTAGCATATGTTACACATAATATWTATGTACATACACATGTGTTTATTATAAGTTTATGAATACTAGAGCGGGTCAACAGAGAGCAACAAAAAAAATGGAAAAATCGCTAAAGCGAAGAATGTTCTATGGATCATTTTGAACAACTTTACCCAAGGGACCATGGTACACAAAGCGGCTGCTCGCCCTCGATTTTTAAGTCGATGCTTTTTAGATTATAATAATTTCTTCATCAGTTTTTGAGATATCCGATTGAAATTGAATACGTAGACGCATCTTGATATTCTATTGATCATTTGTCGAAATTGGTCACATYGGCCAACTAAAGCACATATCTGCCATATAACCGATTATTCTAATTTTTTAAACTTGGCCTTAAAAATAGCTGGCTCTAAACCAGTTTTAGACCAATACTCATTTAGGCAAAGTTGCTCAGAATGATCCGTAGAATAAAAAAATCGACCGGCTCTAATGTATACACATATGTATGTATGTAGGTRTATATGTACATAAATACATAAATAATAGCAAAAATATTAGAGTAATACTAAAAATGAGAGATAGCAGRAGTTTCGTACTCACCTTATCTGTTTGATTGCCATCATATTTGTCACGACTATCTGTTGCCCAATTGGCAAGTCCTAGAAGAAATTTCATGTTTGACATTTAGTTTTGGAAAACACTGTATTAAAATTGTTTTTTTTTTTTTAATTTTTTGGTGCATGTGAAGAATAATTATATTTTTTTTTTTTTTGTATTTTAAACTATTTTTTGTATTAAAATGTTTTTTTGTTGCAAAATGTAGCCGTTACATAAGGACGTATCTCATGTAKCGCAATAGCACAATGAAGCGATCACTCAGCATACAAAACATTCACTTATTGAAGTCAACATAATGTTGTACCGGACAACTCACTGACTGCCTGTTTATTTGCACAACTGACGGTTTTGGCTAATGAACTGSCATTTGTAAATATATTTACTGTTTACTTTGAAGTGATTTGCCACAACATTATACTTTTCCCAGCATTTAGCTTTTGAATAAGAAATATAACGGCAAAAATTCAGTTACAATGGCGCAACAGTGCCGCTACGTCAACTTCGCACAAAACTCTGCGAGAACACACGAGCGTGTTGGTAGCAAAAAAAATCGGTGCAAGCAAAACAGCTCAACAGCTAAAGAGCGCAGCGCAGCACATAGCGAACAGCGAACATAACAACAGTACAACGCAACGGGTGTGCGACACTGAAATCAAAAATACTAAACTGAAAACTAAAAATCAAAAGCTAATGAAAACTAGCCATCGACGAACAAATTSTAGGACAGCACATATGCATATGTGTGTGAGGTATATACGTGCATATGTATGTATATTTATTAGGTGAGTGTAGAACGATTGAGGGACACCGGCGCTTGTGGTGAGATATAAAGCTTTGCCATAAACGCATGCACACACACACGCATACACATTCACAGGCATAAGCGCTGGCATTTGTTTTAAATATTTGCATAAATAAAGCCAGCTGAAGTGAGCGAAAAACTAAATATGGTGCCATAGTAATTATTCAATTAATTATCTGTGCCTTGCTTTTTTGCTTTTGTTTTTCGCTTATTTGTTTACAAATCAGAACTGTCCACCGTTTTCGTTTCAAGCAAAAATGCGCACACAAAAGAGGTAAGAGAAAAATAAAACTTAAAAATAAAGCAAAACATAAAAAAAAAAATAAGAAAAATAAAAAATATAGAAAAATTAATATATAAAACGAAACAAAAATTGATTAACAAACAAAAAAGGAACAGAAAAAAATTGGCGAACAAAAATGTACACATAAAAAACCCAGAACAAGAAAAAAACTATAATACACTTTACAGCTTCATTTCTTACAGCTTGATTATCTTGATTTATCTTGATTTTAATTTGTATGCTATAGGCTAAAGTAGTCCGATATGAGTCTGAATTAGGTATCACCTCAAAACTAGTACGGCTGTGTAAACTGACTTTAAGCAATGCCAAAAGCTCCGTCAGGATCGGGATGGAGTCCCCATATCTTCGAAGTCGAAGCGGTTCTGACAAAAAAGCAACTTCTTAAGAAGGAAACGACATATGCAAAATTCAAGATCGATAACACGAAAACTGAGAGTTTAGCTAGCGTATATGTAGAGACAGCAGAACAAGGCTAAATTCGATAAGCACGCCACCCGTAACATTTATATATACACTTTAACGCGGCTCCGACGTTTCCTTCTGGGTGTAACAAACTTTCTGGCCAACATAATATACCCAATGCAGGGTATGAAAAGAAAAAGATACAAATAAAGAAAACAACAAAGAGGGGAAACGTAAAAAAAATTGTAAAAAAATTTAAACACTAAATGTAAAAAAATTTAAACACTAAAAAAATCAAAAACAAAAATTAATTATAGGAAATATATAAACAATAAATAAGCAAAAGAAAAATGTGCGCATAAAGAAATCAGAAAATAAATAAAGACGGCAGCACACAGCCGTATTCCCAATAAAATGCAAA